GGGCTTCATCGGGGCACACCGCAAGTCTCAGGAGGCCCCGTGCATTGGCCAAAGTAAATGTACAAACAAGCAGCTTGTGTATTTCATAGAGAAATGAAAGCAAATTATGTTGGCCTGCTGGTGGCAAGTCGGATTGCCCATGCCGGCAAATGGTAACACAAGCTGGGTGTTCGAGTTATCATACGCCGTCATCTCAGAATTCCATTGTGAGATACGCGGCAGCTTTCGGGATGAAATTTAGCGCGAGAGGCGTTGATGTGACTTTTGAGGTCGGTGAATGGAGGCAGCTAAACTTGTTTGTGCTCATACGGTCTTTGTTAGCTACATGCGAGATACCTTGCAATAGAGAATGCTGTATAGTACCGATAACGCGTTTCAGCCGGGTGAAATATTATGTTTGGTCCGTTACACACTCAAGGCCTGGGAGTTCGAGTTATCATACGCCGTCATCTAAGAATTCAAATATAAGATACGCGGTACCTTTTGAGATGAAATTTAGCGCGAGAAGCGTTGATGTGACTTTGGCCTCGGTCAATTGAGGCAGCCAAACTTGTTTGTGCTCATACGATTTTTGTTGGCTACATGCGAGATACCTTGCAATAGAGAATGCTGTATAGTACCGATAACGCGTTTCAGCCAGGCGAGATATTATGTTTGGTCCGTTACACACACACACACACACACACACACACACACACGGACATGGGCAATCCTACAGGTCGGGGCCCCCCTGGGCGCTTCGCGCTGGGGCCCCGCCCAAAAAGCAAGGCAGGGGACAAAATTAGGGTAATGGCCGCGTCAGTGAATGCTCCGTACGAACAGGTACGAATAGGTACGAATGTGTATGGACAGATGTGAGCACTTACATGAGACACTAATCAAGTTAAAAGTAACGCGCAAGAATTGTGTGAATGTACACAGACCGAAGAGAGATAATCTTTGCCAACACGCTAAAAAAAATTACCAGGGGGAAACCAAAGCAGCGAACTGGGAAAACTAGAAACGGCAGTGAGAGAAATGCGACATGTAAATCCGAGGAAATACATGCCCTCTCGCGTACTCTCTGACGAGGAAACAATCACAGGCACGAGATCTAGCAATGAAATCCTAGAAGCTCGAAGCCGAACGGAAAGGGATGAAAGAAAGGATGAATATTTGAGTGTTCCAGAGGTGTTCCCACTTGCCTGGGTAGCGACAATGAAGATGAAGCCCCACAGAGCGTACGGCACACCGTACGGCGCGATATCGAAGATCCTGAACTTTGCCTCGTCAAATCTCTTAGCCTTGGTGTACCGAGTTTCCTGATCAAGAAGACATGCCACGTCAGGTTTGGCCATTTAGACGGGTACGTAGTTCTCAGAATGAAAGCATGAAGAGGTTCGCCGTACAGTAGAGGAGTGTCGTACAGTACCGGCACAAGAACAGAACAAGTTTGCCCTGGTAATTGAAACCTAACCACCCACAAACAGCTGCGAGCTTAACGGCTATTAACTCTTAACCAACATCCAACCCCCTCTTGAACTACCGTCGCACCTGGAGGCCGACGATCACCAAGTTGGTCGATGTTCCAATAGATGTGCAGGTACCGCCAAGCACGGCAGCGTACGACAGGGGGATGAGCAGCTTTTTCGGTGGCACGCCGCAACGCCTTGCCCAGGAAATCAAAACTGCGAACAGAGGTGATCCAAACAGGTATGTCTAAGCTATGTTGCAGTATCGCGCCGTGCATATCTCATCCACAAACACACACGTTTGCAGCTGTAGAGCATACCTTTGGTAGAGTGGGTGGTTTTGGGGCATCTGGGCTAGTGAATATAGCTGGGCTAGTGAATATAGCTGGCAAGAGGATTCGAACAGGTGACGACCCCATGTGTTGATGAGGGAGAATGGTTTTAGGATTCTGACCGATATCACGCCCCGCCAATGATGGAGTTATTCGGCAGACAAGCCCATCCAAGAGGATAACCGCATGAATTGGTGAACCACCGAGTACACGCACGTCCAGACCACCAGGACATTGTTATAACTTACTTGGAATCATAAAAGTAACGCAAGGAGTGTTGTTCAGGAATGCGGATAAGATCATGACCGGGAACATGGAGCGAACCAGGGCCCAGTGCACGGAGCGGGAGCGACCTAGGACGTAGTTCATGATCAGCTCAAGACCTGCGTGGTGAATCAACATAAGTGATCAATAGGAAAACTCATAAAATATGCGTAACCTATTCGCTGGATGCGCACCTCCTGTCTGGGTGACGCCTTCCGCCACCAAATACAAGAAGATGACGGTGAGGAGACCGGTGTTGCCATAACCAGCAGCCGCCTTTGATACAGTAATAATTTTTCCATCAAAAGCTGTTAGAAATGCAAGAAGTACTGTGAAGGTGATGTCCGGTCCAACCTGCAAAGGTCATCCATGTGGGTGGTGGTCAACGGAGACTTAAGCAAGCAAATAATGGTGAAATCATAATCGATAAACATCCCATCATATATGTGATTCTGAAATGCATAAGCTTTTCATCGATGATGCATAGCAGACGACTACTGGATTGTCAACCGAACTGTAACTGCATTTGCGATAGAGCAACGCGCAGTCACCAAGCATGATGTATACAAGCCTTACCCAGTCCGCAGCCATAAACACGAAAGCAAGGGCCGTAAAGGTGCATGTTACTATGCCAGGCCATGGAAATGCAAGAGCCATTTTGGCTCTGATCAATTATCAATAGCTAAACCTATAGCGAATAGAAGGAATATAAGTTTACCGATGGGATCAAACAGAAAATAATACTTATCAACAATCTACCAGGCCGAGTTTGGGCTCGCGAAATTCACCTGAGGCCAGACCGCCAGGCCAAGGTACAGGCCTTACCGTCGGAGGTCTTGTCAGTCAGGCCAGGCCTGAGATCACTGCAAAGTGATGAGAGGATTGTCTCTTTCAGTAAAATTATTATAAAGATCATGCTCGCTGCACCTACGATCACGCTCGCTGTCCGCCGTATTGCTACAGTAACGGATTTCCGCTCCGATCCCTAACGGTTTTCTGTCAGCGCCCCACTACGATGAGAGACCCAGGATTACCTGGAGCCCAAAGGAGGAGCTGCAGCTCGCAGCAGCTCACAAATCAGGCGCTTGCACGGCGCTTGCTTCAAATTGGAATAAATTATCAAAATAATTAGAAATTTCGCTGTTATAATTTCTTTCTTAAAAATAAAACAATATGCATGATCGCATTCAGCTCTGTATCGTCCAGAATACATGACGCATACAGCGAGCAGGCAGAAGAAGCGTCACGGCGTCCTTGCATGCAGTAGGCCCCTGCGCAAGGCAAGAATCGTCAGGTAGCCGCTGATAACATGATATATTACCTGAAATTTGAAGAACTAAATTCCTACAACCGATCCAACGGGAAGAGGCTCCAAACGCGCCGAACACCCGATAAGCGGTGGTGTACCTGAGCACATCGTCAATTCTGTCCGTCCTAAACCATCCTTTTGTTAACTGAACAGGTACTTCTGCATGTACAGTTCTCCAGTCGTTAAGCGCTTTTACCCAGTCTTACCGACGACTTTCCTACCAGACAAATGCCACATGCACGCGGCCCACCAGCAGGAAGACAGAATGATCCCTTCCAACAGTAGTTTCCTGACCATTAGGACGTCTAATTTTGAGGCCGTCTTGTCGACGTTTATACTCAAAGTTAGGGGCAAGCTGCCGTACGCTGTTTTCTGATGTCGGAAGAGTTTAAACCATCGGCACAGCTATCAGGGACCACCTTAAGCTGACTTAAACAGGAGCTCCAAGCGGGATTGCATCGGCGTGTCCCGCAATTCATTCGAAACGAGCAAGAAGCGAAGTCACGTGGGTTGGACTTAAAGAGACTAAAACCCTAAACACCATTTAAATTGAAGATAGACACGCGACCTACAGGCTCATTACATAGTTTTTACAAATACCCTCCTCATAAGCCCCTGACCGCTTGCCGCCTGCTGCTCCCTGCGGGAGCTGTGCGGCTCTCGTCCCCGCTTGGGGAGGAAATCCTCTGGAGTATTGGGGAGGAATTCCTCTGCGCTGTAACATACTGACGGAATCTGTCCCATACATACATACATGCATGCATACGTACGCACGCAGGGTCCCCTCGTACGCCATCTCCCGCAAACCTCGGCCCTCTGCTAAATTAAGAAATCCGAAAAATGAAGCTGGGCCAACAAAGCAAGAGCTACTTGAAAAAAGGCGCACAAAAAGACAACAAAAGAAAATTAAATCCTTAGGTACAGAAAGATAGGGCTGGGGAGAGGTAAAAAGCAAAGAGCGCGCGAGTTTATGTGGACGACGGTAGGAACCGGTATCTTCTAGATGGCATATAATTCAAATTCAAATAGTTTCGGAACCACAGCCGCCCTATGATGTATCAAGAAAGTCCGTTATCCTTTCATGCAGGAACGACGTGAACGCCCTCTCTTAACAAGCCGGGGATGCCCTCCCCTAATGGCCTCTTCCCGACAAGCTAGCTAGATTAACAACGCAGCAACCTGCGCTACCGGCACTCGCGCGTCCGACTGATGCTCCGTCAACGCCGCTTCAGATGTCGTATCCGCAGCCGCCCGCCGTCGCGCCGCCGCCGCAGCAGCAGGGCCGCAGCAGGCCTTGTACTTCTTGCCTGATCCGCAAGGGCAAGGCTTGTTGTTGCTAGGCCTAGACGCCGCCGTCGCCGAGCCCGCGGCGGCGATTATCTTGAGTGCCGCCGCCGCTTTAGTTTTACCGCCGACGATCCGTACGCTCGTCATTCTGACGCCTTTACCCGCCGCCGCCACCGCCGCCGTCGCCGCCTCCAACGGCGGAGGTGGCGAGGACGGCAATGTCGAGGATGACGTGGCGTCGGCGTCGACGATACAGAATGCGCCGTCAGTGACGGCAGCGCGCGGCTCTCCGCCCGCCATGACTCCCGCCGCCGGCTCGTCGCTACAGCCACCTTCCCCATCCCTGCCACCCTCGTGCTTCTTCGCCTCGCAGCTGGGCCAGGGGCCAGCGGCGGCTGCGCCGCTGCCCTGCCGTAAATCACCTGCGCCGTCGGCCCCCGCGGCGCCGTCGTTGCGCTCAGGACCCACGCCAGCTGTGGGCTGACTACTATCGGCCTCGTCGGGTGCATTTGTTGCCGTACAGGCACTTGGCTCCGTCGGCGTCACCGCCGCTGCGGCGGCATCCGCCGTTGCGGCCGGCTCCGCCGCCAGCGCCTCAATCACGCGCTCGATGGCCGCCTCGACGTCGCCATGCGCCTCCTCAAGAGCCTTGCGCACCAACGCCATGTCCGTACATGCCGTACTAGAAGCTACCCGGCGCTCGTCCCGCTCGTCCCAGATGCCGTTGCCCTGGGCCAAACATAACAGCGCATCAAGTGTTGGGTCCATAGCTCTACGCGCGCACGTGGCTGACGGCTCGAGACATGCGATATGCGCGTCATACAAACACACACAAACACACACAAACACACACAAACACACACAAACACACACAAACACACACAAACACACACAAACACACACAAACACACACAAACACATACAAACACACACAAACACACACAAACACACACAAACACATACAAACACATACAAACACAAACACGCCTTTCACACGACGATATATATAGAAGGTTGGATCTGCGGCTCGGAGAATAGTTGTTCGTGGAAAAAAGAAAAGGAAAGCGGGGAAGCAATGAAAGAGGAGGAGGAGGAAGGAAGGAAGGAAATGCAGCGCTGATTTTCACCTTTCCGTACGTAAGGTGAATGCGGTAGTGTATAGTTCTTATAGTATAGCACACTAAAAGAAACCGAACTGTGAAGAGAACTGAACCAGTTATATGATGAAAAAGACGAGACGATACCACCAGTACCAGTACCAGTAGCAGTACCAGTAGCAGTACCAGTACCAGTACCAGTAGCAGTCCCAGTAGCAGTAGCAGTAGCAGTAGCAGGACGCGGTGAAATATCTCCCAGCCTGTCTGCGATAAGTCAAGTTCTCACCGCTGCCGCTGCTGCTGCTGCTGGTGGCGGTCGCCGTGTCGCCGCCACCATACCATCCCCCCGCATCACCACCGGTGCCGGCGGGCCCACGCCATAGTCGTCTGCACACCGCACACTGTTGTAGTGCTGCCCGTCGTGGTACGATAAATGCAACATGGGTGCCGTACCCTCCGGATGGTTGATCACACGCCACCGTGGCTGACCTGCCTGCGGCCCACACGCACGGCATACATACATGTATACATACATACGTACATACTTGGGGGGCATATTATTCCTGTGACATGAAAACACCACAGTACGCAAGAACCATGTACGACACGGTACGACATTCGTACATAAGAGCCATACATCCCCGTAGAAGAGAACCGAAGCGGCAAGACGCAGGGTGATGGCGGTTGTGGTATCCCGCGGGGGGGAGGATGGGATGAGGCGCTGTGTACTTGGGCCCAGGCCCTTTCCCCCCCCCCACACACACAGTTTCCCCCCTCCTTCCTCATGCCAAGGTGTGCTGGGTTGTGTTGTTTTTGGGTTTGTTGGAGTTTGTTGGGGTTTGTTGGAGTTTGTTGGAGTTTGTTGGGATTTGTTGGGGTGATGGACTCCAACCCTCAGCCTTTCTCACATTCCGCCGAACTTTGCATCCAGACGACTGAGCCGCCACGCCCGCCCCGGATCAGCCCGCCCCGGATCAGCCCGCCTCGGATCAGCCCGCCCCGGATCAGCCCGC